CTATGTTTATTTCAGGCCCCTGTCCATGTACTCAGTGGTGAAGGACCGGGTAGCCACAGTTATGTACACAGTAGTAACTCCTATGCTGAACCCTTTCATTTACAGCATGAGGAACAAAGATATGAAGAAGGGTTTGAAGAAATTATGGGATAGAATTCATTCATAGAAAGAATAAAATGATGGAATATCACAATTGGGAGATGACCTCAGCGATTATCAGTTTATCTTTCCTTCCTAATCATTTTTCACAACGCACCCAAAGTGGTCATGAGAAGTGGTATTGGATATCAGTAAAAACTTTAGCTGGTAGCAAAACACTTGGTTTCCATCAATGATATTAACCAAATACACGTTGAATCCTAGACTAGGTACTGGTAGGAATCCTGATTTCAGGAAGACCATTTCTACCTTCTTCAATATACTGGCAACTCTACAGAAAGCTAAAGCTATCTCCAAATAACTTCTTTTTTTCCCCCAAATAACTTCTATAAGCCTAATAATCATCCACAGTCAAGGAGTTATAAATCCTGTTAATTTTCAGAAAGAAACAAAATGGGTTTAATAGGTAATTGGGTAAGACCTCTTGGAGGAATGACCTGAGTCATCTTGAAGAATGCACTGACTTATAACAGATGAAGTTTCAAAAGATGAGGACATGGGCAGAACATTTCAAATACTGGAAACCACCTAAGCATTTAGAGGCAATAAGCACTTCAATATGGTTGAGGGACAGTGAAAAGCCTTATGAGACTTGTTCAACCTGAAGGTAAGGAAAACAAAGCTGTAAAAATAGAAGAATCTATGGGGAAGATTTACCCTCCCCACCAAAACTGAAATGTCACAAGAGTGTGAATACTTAGTACCCAACTCCTCTCCCCTTCCCTCTTAATTTCTCCTTTCTCCAAATGCACAGCATCCTCCCTAAGCTGTCTTTTATATCCTGGAAAAAATAAGTATATCAGTCAGGAAAATCTAGGTTGTGCTATGGAGATAATAGCCTCAAAATCTTAGAACCTTAAAGCCAAAAATTTATTTCTCATGACACTGCATGTCCACCATGGAAAAGTGTAAGGATACTGCTCACTTTAAATACTTAGCAACCCAAGACTATGGAGCAGTCATCATTGAAAACATTCTGTCAGAAACAGAAAGACTCTTAAATATATGTTTTGGTTTTTTTTTTGAGACAGAGTCTCATTATGTCCCCCTCAGTAGAGTGTCATGGCATAACAGCTTACAGCAACCTCAAACTCTGGGGCTTGAGTGATTCTCTACCCTAAGCCTCTCGAATAGCTGGGACTATAAGCACCCACTACACCACCTGGCTATGTTCTAGTTGTAGTTGTGATTATGGGTTAGCTGGCCCAGGCCAGGCTCAAACCCACCAGCCTCAGTGTATGTGGCCGACACCCTACTTACTAAGCTAAGGTTACCTAGCCAAGTCTTAAATATTTTACATCGGCAGCTCAATACTGTGTTCGCAAGTGACCCTCACCTCTTCTGACCAAAGCGCATTGGCCAATACTAATCTCATGACCCCATCCAAACACATGCACACTACAGCCATGCACCTCTAAGTGGATATCCAGAAAAATTTGGTGAATAGCAGTAATGACTACTGTGCAAGTATATTAACACACAAACATACCAGTGTGAATTAGTAATTTTATCAATTGTCCTGGATTAAGCTATCAGCAGTTGCAATAGTAATAGAAGATTTATACTGCATCCTTGGAATCCTTCTGCTTCAGTAATTTCAAGTTCATTAACCACCAGCTCTTCTGGCTCACAAGCTCATTAATAGCAGAACCTAAAGTTCAGTACAAGTTTTTGGTCTTAAGGATATAGCAAAAGGTATATGAGAGTCCAACAGAACACAGGGACACCTCAGCTGTGACCTCAAGCTCACTGCAATTGCTTTTACTAGTTCCCTCTAGTTAAAAGGAAATAACCAGAAAAGAAGTCCAATGCAGTAGCCATCATTCACCACTGTCTTCCAGTGATCACCTGGTTTGGTTCTGAGAATACTCACATTTTTATTCCTGACCTCACACTGCTTTCATCGCTATACTTCTTTTTCTTAACAAATATGTGGCAAAAAATTCATAAAACATCTTTTATAAATAATCATATAGATCCTATCAAAAGTTCAAACTAAAGGGAATTCTAGATAACTAGTAACCATGACAGTACGTTTGGAATGAAAGAGTTCCCAGTTTGGTCCTCAAGTAAGTCCTAAACATCTTAGTCAAAGAAAGAGTGTTTTCTCTTTTAGAATATGAGGCCAATTCTTATCTGACATTCTGTTATTTTTCCAAAGATGTCAGTTGCAGTGGGCAACTTTAGGATTATTTTTGCTTTCCTAACAAGAGAGACCAGAAGTCAACCTGGAAAGTTGTTAATAAGGATTTGTAAGAGGAAAGAAATATCTGATGAAGGTGGATATGATCACACTGGAGGAATCTAATTAGGCCTCTGGACATCTTACCACATTTGATGGAATGCTGCTACATAGCCCTTGAGAGTAGACCAGGAATTTCCTTGCTGGCCCCCTATTCTATGTGTTAGTCTATTTTGCATTGCTATGAAGGAAATACCTGAGACTGGGTAATAAAAAAGAGGTTTATTTGGCTCATGGTTCTGTAGAATGTACAAGAAGCATTGCGCCAGCTCCTACTTCTGGTGAGGGGCTCAGGGAGCTTCTTATCAAGGAGAAGGTAAAGAGAGAACAGGTGTGTCTCTTTAAGCAAGGGAGGAGGTGGTGTTCGGGAGAGTCTAACAACCAGCTCTCGAGGAAGTGATAACATGTAGATTATGTAGGTGTGAACTAAGGAGAACCTAGGGAAGAGGGCAGAGTAGTCCTGGCATTGAATAGTTTGATAAACCATTTTCAAAGGGTAAAATAAAAGGGACAGTAATAAAAATTTTTAAAGGAAATTTCAAGATTCAGGAGCTGTTAAACAGTATCAAAATATGATGAGAATTTAAGCAAAATAAACCTAAAGACTGTCCATTAACTTTTATGACATGATGGCCATTGATGACCTTAGTGAATGTGCAATGGAGAAATGGAAAAGAGGCCACATTAGCACCTGTTAAGAAATGAGTAGAGGTGAGAATGTTAAGAAAGTGATTATAATTCATGTCAATGTTATTCCACTGTCTTAAGCTTACATTATTCCTAAAGAGAAATCAGCCATAACTCTTACTTTCATTCCTCTTATAGGTAACTTGTCTTTTTTTCTCTGGCTTATTTTATTTTTGGAACTTAGCAATTTGACTGTAGTTTGGCTATGTATGGATTTCTCTGCATTTATTTTGCTGAGGGTTTATTGAGCCTCTTACATCTATGTATAAGTATTTTTCTTCATGTTTGAAAAAGTTTACTCTCAACTTTTCTGCTAGTACCATGCTGTTTTGGATGCTAAAGTATTATAGTATAGGTTAAAGTCTCTTAAAGTGATGCCTCCAGATTTGCTCCTTTTAGTAGAGGTTGCTTTGGCTATTCAGGCTCATTTCTGATTCCAAATGAAGCATAGAATTATTTTTTCTAGATCTGCAAAAAATAACATTGGTATTTCGATGGGGATGCATTGAACCTGTAAATCACTTTTGAAAGTATGAAGAATTAAGACCTCACAAGTCAGTAGGGATTGGGGCCCCATTCTGAGTTTTCTTAAACAGAACAATAGCCAGACTAGAAATTGGTATCCTATAAAACTAAATTTCTTACCTGAGAGAGAACGTTTTCTGATAAACCCTGAGGGAATTTAAGACCACAGGATAATACTAAGATTAGCATTATACATCAACCAGCACAACAGACACCCAACAGTATAAAATCATCTAAAATCTAAAGGACAGAACCCATATAAAACAATAGCTCAAGAGGTAAAATGAACCAATAAAGTTCTAAACAACAGGATGAACAGAAATCTACCCCATCTATCAATTCTTTCAATAAATGTGAATCCACTGAACTCCCCCTCTCAAGACACATAGGCTGGCTGAATGGATAAAATAAATATAAGCCAGGTATCTATTGTCTACACAAAATGCATCTAATCCACAAGACACATTCAGACTGAAAGGGAAAGGATGGAAAACAAAATTCTAGGCAAATCCAAACCAAAACAAAGATTGTATAGCCATTCTCATATCAGATAACATAGATTTCAAAGCAAAAAAAAAAAAGAAAAAAAAGACAAAGATGGTCATTATATAATGGTAAAAGGAAAAATTCAACAAGAAGACATAATCTTAAATAATTATGCACCTAACACAGGTGCACAGATTCATAAAGCAAACCCTCTTAGATCTAAACAAAATGATAAACAATAACATTGTAGTAGTCAGGGACCTCAATGCCCCACTAACAGAGTCAGACAGATCCTCTAACCAAAAAATAAACACTAGAATTAAATGGGACTCTAGAGGAAAGGGACCTAGAAGACATTTAGAGAACATTCTACTCAAAATTCATTGAATATACACTCTTCCCAGCAGCAAATGGAACATCCTCTAACATTGATCAAATCTTAGGCCATAAAAAATGTCTCAAA